AATTTTATATGCTAATTGGGAAGAGAATTATTGCTGATGGCCCTGAGGATAAGATGCTGATGGCATTTCTGTACTACACTCAGTCTTTCCAAGCAAGGCGTGTGTATTTCAAATTTCTTCATTCACCTCAAAAATATCTTTTCCTTTTATAGTTTAAATCACATTTCATATATTTCAAGCAATTTTTAAAAAAAGTTTTAAAACATATTCATGTAAAGATGTATCTTAAATCCAAGTCCTCTACCTTACATTTAAGAACTTCTATTTCCAAATAATGTTTATTCTCAGCGAGGTGGAGGACCATATAAAATTCCTTATTCTATCTCCAGCCCTGTCTAATTAAAGTAGTACAACATTGCTGGCTGTGGTGTTCTTGTGCTGGCACCAGTTGTAGCCCTTTCAGTGGCTGTTTATCAGAAGAAAGGCAGGCTGGCAGTGACAGACACAGACACAACACTTACTGTGGCAGACCCACTGGGATCCTCACAACAGCCTGCTCTTCAAGTATGTGGTGAATATCACGTTGGACTAAGGGCATGGAAGAGTGAGTAACACCTCAAAGGTGAAAAGGTCTTCCTCACCAGTATTTCATGAAGATCTTCTTCACATCAAGATCCTTAGATAGTCACATCCTCCTGCATCTACTGACCAGCTTGTTGGAATTTATAAGCTACAACCTGTTGAAAGAAATATTGAATCCCTAAGATGCTACATAAAACAACGTAGTAGTTTAATTAATCTCTTTCTAACAAAAATAAATAAATGTATGGTAATCTGAAAAAGTATTAGAAAAAACACAACAAGCAAACCAACAACAACAACAACAAAAAAAAAGCCAAAAAAAAAAACAACCAAAAAACCACATCTTCTCCAAATCAGAGCAATAGCTTCAGGCAACACTTACTTTTCCCAAGACAGTGTAAATTACCATTTAATCCAGCATCACATCCCAGGTCCTCTTGAAAAGCACTGAAGTGTCTACTTTGGTCAGAGCTTCAGCTGAACAACAGTCAAGCAGCCCAGCCATGATGAGATATGAAACTCATGCAAATGTATATAGTCACAGGTTCACTTCTGACTAACCTGTTGCTTCAGTGCTTTTTGCCATACTTGTAAATGAAGATTAGAATCCTGAAAAACGTTTTTTTTTTGTTTGTTTTTTTTTTTTTAATATGAATAAGGGTTTTTTTCTCCAAAGGGTGTCAAGACAGTGCATGGGCAAACTGTCCCTTACCCAGTCTGTGTGGGAAACATGATTCTTACTTCCTGACAGAATTCAACAATACTTCAAAAGTTTCATGTGAGCCAGAAGGGAACTAAATATTTTTCATAAGAGCCTTTACCAGGGCACTAATAAGGTAAGCTAATTTTTTAAATTAGATATCAATAGCTTAAAACAGCATATTCAATAAAAGTCACAGAAGATCATTTGTCTCTTTAAATTCCAAGCACTAGAATTTGTATTGCCACAAATCCCACGAGCCACGGTACTCTCAGGAAAGCAGCCTGTGGCTTGTTGGAGTCATGTGTGCAGAGCAGTCCTCCCAAATGCACATTCCTGAGAAATGCAGTCCTGGAACGGCCAGTGTCTGCTCAAGAGGGACACTGACACCTTACACTTTCCCTCAGAAGATTGTTAACCACTTGTACAACATCCTTGCAAGGTCCCTTGTGCCTCTGCTGCAGGACAGGACTGACTCAACAGACCCAAGACACACAAAGAAACCCCTCCATGGCATGCACCACAGCCTGCATTTTGTAGCACTAAATTGAGCTCATACTAAGTCCAGCTCCAGGCCTGACCACCTGGACTTCAGTTTTGACACAGCATTTTAAAGCAGAATACTTACTGTCTCAGCTTCCCTGGCTCTCTATGTCAGGGCAGCCCATCCTGAAAAGTTTCTGTTTCTAGGCTTTGTGGGTTTTATTCTCCGTTTATATGCATTACTTTCCTTCTCTTTTCCCTTTTCAGATGGGCTAACATATATTTTGCTCTTCACTTGATTCCCATCAATAATATCAGAAAGTATACCATACATCCCATATGCCATCACAAGGTGATGCAGGTAAAACGTTGCAGATCATTTCCAGCTGGCAATTCTATAAAACAAAAAATGCAGGATGTTGTAATCTGGGAATAGAGCAGAGTCTTCAATATTTCTCACTAAGTGGGGGTATCAGACCTGCTGATCTGATGCTTTTCATTGAGAAATCACCTTTTTGGCTTTTCCACAGAGTGTGCCCTATTTCATAAAGCAGAACTGTTTCTGTGGTGACTCTCAGGTAGGTTGTGTTTACTAACAAGTACTTACTCCATTCATTTTCCCAGGCAAGGAGCATATCATTAGCACCCACGTTTCAAAGAATTTGCAGCATCAAGGAGCCAGGCCAGTTTCAGTGAGGATCAAGCCCCTCAGGCTGACTTCAACTAATTCAGTGGTGAGGCAGGGTCTCTAATATATTGTGTTCACAGAGTTATGGAGGGGGCTTGGAAACAGTAAGAATTAGTGTTAGCACCCTCTCTTGACTCGAAGTTTAAACAATATTTTAAAATTTAATTCAGTTCCTCAGAATCCCTACAGAAGCTGGGTAATTCAGAGCAAACTCCTTTTTGTATGTTGTGGGGTTCACACCTTCCAAATCACTTCTGGTTTTTTTCTAAGATTATCTAACAAAGAAGGGTTGTCCCAGGCAATCAGCAATTCAGAAAACAAGAAATTGGTGTGGAACCTGTGACCAAAACAGTTTTCGTACTACCCTCAGCAGCAGAGATCACATTCACAGCTAGAAAGTTTTGAGAAAGATGGATCCTTCCTCCTTTTTATCCCAAAATATAGTAGTTACAGCACTTATTAAGACAGGTACCAGTACAGATAAAGATCTGCCACAGCCTCAGGGAACAAGAATAACCAAGTTCCTCATAGGTATTCTAATAACAGGTTAGATGCCTCTTTACCTCACCAGATCCATGGTGCAATTTGGTCTTTCAGAATTCATGCAACGGTGCTATTTATCATAGAAAAACTCCACTCCTTAAATACTGCCAAACAAGCAGCACCTAAACATGCTCTCCCATGCATGCAGATCTCACACAGAGCTCTGCTGCTGCTCCTTGCATTGGCACAAGCTTCTGGCAGTGAATCAGCAGGAGACTGACCAGGAACTGCAGCAGGAGGGGCAAGCACAGGAGCCAAACCAGAAGTGAGTTTGTTCCTATGCATCCATGTTCTCTTTCTCCCTTGCCTGTCTCCATGCAGATGTGCTGTCCTGGCTCTGTGCAGCTGCTTCTCAGAGCCGCCAGCCTGCCATCCTTGCTGACTGCTGTGCACCAAAGGGCAGGTGTGCCACAGGGGGAGAGGAAAAAGCCTTTGGCCCATGCAGATTGGAAAAAGGAGTAACTGATGGTTTCATTTTCTTCTCCTTGTTTTTTCCCCCCTAGGGATGTCACTGTGGATGCATGGAAATCTCAGCATTGAAAGCATGTACATAGATTAAATAAATCTTAAAGCTGCAAAAGAATTTGAGTTTTCCCTGTAAGTTAACCCAGAGATTCTGACACCTGCTAGTCTGGTGTTTTTCTGTCCCATTAATAGTGTACGTGAAAGCCATAGGACTCTCTCAAGAGTACACTGATGAATTTCTAGAAGGTTTAAGATTTGTTTTCATTAATACCAAAACCCTCCAGAAATGGCATTTTTGAATGTATCTTTCAGGCATCTTCCTCTACCTTTATTTTTCTTTTTAAAAGATTTCAGTTATTTCCAGTTTGCTGCGGTAAATGCCACTCTTTGGCATTGTTTCATTGCATAAAAAGACTAGATTGTTGTTCAAAGACCCTATGACTTGGCCATTGAAATTAATGAGACAGCTGTGTGCCAATCCTTGGAGTTGATTGGTGCATTATGTCTGATTTACAAATCTTTCATCTTCAGTACAGTACAGAGAAATTTGCGCACCATAAAAAAGGTAATAATTTATCTACCACATAGATTCATCTTTAATACAAAATGTGACATGCTGAACTTCTCAGATTTTTCCAAACACTCCACATGCAGAAAAAGAGAAATGTGTCTTTTATTTTTGTTTGAACTAAATAAAATAGCAGAAAGCAGTGGAATATTTACTCTGAAACTGTGCTTCCAGAGCACACGGGTAGGAGGATTTCTGTTGTATTGACAGAAGAATTGGAGTGTTCTCCTACAAAGTAGATAGACCACAATGAGTTTGGATTTCAATATTAAAAATATAATATTACACTATATCCATATATTCTAATAATATATAATGATATATCTATCCATTTATCTATAATATTCCAATTCAACATTTGGCTTAATCCAAATGTTGTAGTCACTCAAACGATATGATAGATTTAATGAAAAATGAAGATAATTGACAACCCACTCACTCCCTTCATCCTAAAGAAATTCAGAGGAAACAAATAAAAGAAATTTTACCTGTCCTTTCCAAACTCCAAAACCTCTATGGTCTTCCCCATGGTGGTTCAGATAAAACACTCTGGGTTTATGACCAGTTCCATCCATGCTAATTACAAAGGTGACTACAATCAAAAAGCAGGGCATTAACTCCACAGAGAGCACTATGATTTCTGTTCAGACAAGCTTTACTGTGACCACCAGACAATTCCTAAAATCCAGGAAGATTCAGCCCTTTCTCCAAGAAAGACAGATTTACAATAGAAAAGATCACAGGTAGATAGAAAGGAAGGTACTCATCACAAACTAGCATCAATGTCATATAAACACAGGACCCCAGGTTGGTTCCTTCTCATCTTGGAGCCTTTGACTCTTTTGTAATCCATATTAAACAGGAAAAGCTATAGACAATCCTTCCTTTACACAGGTACTTATTCTGTCAGCCCCTGGGGAACAGACCTTGGGCAACCTTCAGGAGACTCTGCTCTTGGGTTGTCCTGTGGAATTCCTCACCATTCTCTTCCTAATGAACAAAAACCACGTGCTCTTCCACACAGCCCCAAGATGTGGTGCCTCCTCATGCTGCTCTGCTCCCAAGGAATTGCCTTTTCAGCAGGATTCTCAGCAGGATTCTCAGCAGCCTCCAGTGCAGGTGTTGACACAAGTCGCTGCAAGCGCCGCAACCCGGAATGCTTCATGAATGTTGTAAGTTGGGTCACCTTCTTTCCTTTTTTCCTAAAGCTTCTCTACCACTACCACTGACAAACAGTGCCTATCAGGAGGCTAAGTTCCCTTCAAAGGGGTCCCTCCAGCACCACAGACCTAGAGAAAATGTTGATGCTCCTATCCAAACAGTCTGAGCTAGAGAGTAGAATTCCTGTGCAGTGGCAACAAAGGCTGGCTTCCAGTCTCAAGGCCTGCCCTTCTGTAACAACCTCTCTGCCTAGTACAGTGCTAAGGGTGCTTGTACCCCTTCTTCAAACAACAGATTCTCAAAACAAAACCCCTTGTGGTGAATCAAAGGTTTCCTCACTGTGGCAGCAGTGTAGTAGGTGGTGCTGTGAGTCTGAAATAGGAGATCCACCCTCATGGCTTGCTTAACCTCACTTCAGCAAGAAAGAATTCCCTGTGGGTCAGATAGAGATACTGCTGCATGTTTTCTGTCTGGAAAGGTACAACCTTGTTGTGGGGAGAGTGAGAGCTGCAGACAAAGTTCATCAGAGAAGCCCTTCTGTTGAGTCCTGAGGTGCTGAAGGGACCCTCTTGATTTCTAAACTCCTCAAAGAGGAGCTTGGGTGTAGCTGAATCCAGTCTCAGCCTCTGACTCTGACTGCTGAAGCCTAAGGAATCATAGAGGTGTGATTGAACCATTCTACAACTTTGTTCTGCAGGACTAACCATGGCAAACCAGATATATTTATATAAAAGAATAATGATTTATTCTAATTAATGATTAGAAAAAAAATAACCTAATCAGATTTTTTTACTATACAGAAGAGTAGCTAAAACTACTGGTATAAGATAATATAGGACAGTGCATTATATCAAAGCAATCATATAAAAGCAATTGTATTAAAGCTAGCAAAAAGAAACTATTATTAAAGTAGAGATTGATTTAACTCATCCTCACCCATACCAACAACTGTGGGCAAAATCTCTTTTGCTCAGCCTCTAGGATTAACTTTGAGGGGCATCCCAACCCAAAGGAGAAATCTTCATACACACTACAAGAAGGGATATATTAGGAGAACTTAACCCTATGAAAGTGGACTGGGCAGTGAAAGTATAAAGTGATTGACCACCAACCTTATGCCTGCAGGTTGGCTTAGCAGGTTATCCTTGCCAGATCTTTGTTTCATTATCAGGGTGCTAATTTGGGGTTGATGTGTCAGACCTGTTTTAGCATAATTCAACACCAACAGGAATACATCATGTTCCTTCTCAGCCTACCACTGATAGCTTGCAAAATAGGACATTATTTGAGTGGTTTGACCACATTCCAAGGCAGAATATCATAATACAGACCTGTGTCACCTTGCAAAACAGGATAAACTATCGCCCAAAAGGTTAGTCACTCACTTTGCCCCATAACAGGGAATCAAATTCCAGACAACTACCATGTAGCAGGTCTGATGAAGACTTTACTGCATCCTGCTACTCTTATAAATCTGTGTAGGGCTTGAGTGCCACAGCTACAGCAATTACTACCATTTGAGTGATATTAGGCATTAAGTAGAATACACAAACCACTTCACAGAAACCCATCCCAACTCCTCTAGCTGCTGTTTGCATCCCCCACCCTCCATGGCTACAGCATGGCAGCTATAGGATCATCCACAAAAAAGAGAGACCTGGGGTTTGCTTTCCTGCAGGAATCCCTGTCTCTCCCTATCAGTACCACACAGAGCAATAGAGAAAGGCTAGCAATGTGCTATGACATTTATCTCCCTGGCATGTTCTTGGCGAACTTCACATGCCTGGGCAGAAGCAGCCTCCAAACAGTTCTTACACCAATATCTTCACTGTAAATACAGGATAACAAACTCTCCTTTGGCTTCCCACAGAGTGAAATTATCAGATATCATGGATTCCCCAGCGAGGAATATGAAGTTCCAACAGAGGATGGATACATTCTTGGTGTTTTCAGAATTCCTTCTGGAAGGAACAGCCCCAATACAGGTATGACATATAGGATATAAGGGCAGTATGAGAGCCAACTCTCACATGGATTCCCCATCCTTCCCCTTTGCAAATGCAAAGTTCCACACCTTTCCATCTCAGCAAGGGTACCCAGTCATTCAGCCTAGAATGGGGTCTGAATTCTGTATATTGGTTAAAACACTCCTGCAACACCAAATTCTGCACCCCACATTTAAGTACACATTACCTATTACTATTACAGCTTAAAAAAATCTCTTCTATTGTAGGGAAGAAGCCTGCAGTCTTGCTACATCATGGTTTTTTATCAGATTCTATTCACTGGATTGCCAACCTGCCCAACAACAGCTTGGGCTTCATCCTTGCAGATGCTGGCTATGATGTCTGGTTGGGAAACAGCCGAGGAGACACCTGGTCTTTAAAACATAAGACCCTTAAGCCCTGCCAGAAAGAGTTCTGGCAGTTCAGGTACTCTTTGGAGAAAGAATTTCTGAATAAAGCAACTGTCAGGGAACTAGCAAGATTAGGCAGTTGCCATTAGAATGCACAACCTTTCCCCTTCTGGCTAGATGAAAAAAGTTCCCTTCTAAATTATATGAAAACATGACACGTTTTCATATAATCTGACTTCAAGTGGGACATGCAACATTTCAGGAGACTAGACAAACTCTTTTCCAGAGATGCAGCCACTCCTGGGCATATCAAGGAGGTTTTAAGAAGGAATTGGCTGCATGAGCTGGATTGGCTCTTCTGGAATCAACACACAAACAAGCAAAGCTGGAAGTACTCAGGTCATCTTCGCTGGTTTCTGTGGGAAAAGGCTTCCAAAACTGGGAGGCATCTGTCACCTTGAAGTCTCCCACCAGACACCATGTTCCAAGTGCAGAAAGGACAGGAGACTGCTCACCTCAGCCTGGAAATCTGATCTACCACAACTGATGTTATCTGAGAGAAAAACATTTCTTGTAACCCATGCAGGTGAAAGCCCTGATTAAATTCAGTCCCCCAGGGGCTGCGGCTGTCAGGTGAAAGTGGCACCTGATGCACAGAGCCCAGGGCACCAGGCAGCCAGGCTGCACAGCTGCACCCTCTGCCCATTCCCCAGCTCAGGCAGGGGAGCAGACACTGTGTGCAGCCTCCTCCTGCAATGGCTCCTGCTCACTGCCATGAACAAAACTGACAGTCAGGAACTCACACTGGGACAGTCACATTGTCTGCCAGCTTTTTGTGTTTCTCCCCACAGCTTCGATGAGATAGGTAAATACGATATTCCAGCAGAGCTGAACTTCATCCTGAATAAAACTGGACTGAAGGATGTTTACTATATTGGTCACTCTGAAGGGTCAGCTGCAGGTAATGTTATAGCTGCCTGGGTACCAAACACTTGGTGTTAGTGTTTATGATTTAGACATAAGGTCTGTGAGCAGACTCTTATGTCACAGTGTACCATTATCCTTTTAGAAAAACAGACTCAGAAACAGAGGAGAAAATGGAGGGAAGTGGCATTATTAGAAAATTATTTTCCTTTCTTCCCATATGTGCATTCTAAGAGTCTTTTTTACAGAATTAATAGTTTGGACAAACTATTCTTTGTCCACCTTTCACCACCTTCTTTGTCTTCAGATAATTATGTCAGCCAGTCAAATCCATCAGTGGAGAAATTTAAGCACTTTCAGAAAACAGGATGGAGCAACTTTTTTTAGCTTTAATGTCTTCCTTATACTCTTCCATTATGTGTGAATTCACCTTCATGCAAGTATGTGATTGATTACAAGGAAAAAATTTATTCTCAATCTTAGGAAAATTTTTGTATTGCTGAATGACAGCATACACATGTACGGTCTTTTAGAGACTACAAGCTGAAAAACTTTTTTATTTTGAATTTAGGGAACTTTAGAGAGAATTTGAATTTCAAAAATCTAATTAATATATACCTTTTCAACCAAAACCAGCCTTAACACAAAATTATCAATTCTGGCAAAAGCAGTATCAGGACATGCTCTAAAGAGCTTGTATCCTTAGAATGAACTTTATCTTCCAAATAAAGGTTTTAAGCAAGAATCAAACATTCTCTTTAGGTCTGCAGCACAGAAATAGAAAACAGCCAGTGGGATGCTAACCTAGTCTCATTCCTTTGCTGCCCACTGCTTTTTTATTCATTTGGTCTGTGGACATCTCTTCATCAACTTAACTTTTTCTGAGCTTGCAGGCTTCATAGCACTTTCTACTTATCCTGATATGCCTCAGAAGATTAAAGCAGTCTTTGCTTTGGCACCAGTGACCACCATCACACATTCTACCAGTCCTATGATAACAATTGCACTGCTTCCCCAGCCACTGATCAGGGTAAGGAATTTCTCCTTCTTAAGAGAAAGACATAATTGTCTGCTTTGTCTCTACTGGACTCACTCAACCTAACTTTTAAGGGGTGCTCAGTTAGAATTGAATTCAATGTATCAGACTTCAGACTTTCCAAAGAGCTAAACTGCAAGGTTTCACATGGTATGGCTTTTGCAATTTCTTTAAGGTAGCAGGTATACTTCCACCATTATTTATTTAAGTCAAGTATTTCTGAAGAAAAATTTCAAATACCAGAACAAAAGAAATCTAATACAGTCTACTAAATCTAGCCTTAAGCACTAATAAAAACCACAAGTAAAATATTTCACATCTTAATTTTATCAGACATACAGATCATTTATGCTTGTAAAGTATTTACTTTTAAAGTGATAAATTAAACTTAAACAGCAGAAGGTGTCAACTTCATAGAATTCACTGGGAATGTGGAAATCACGCATGCTATGCTTTATATCAAACCACAGATGCACATCCTCTTTCTGTCCAAGCTGCACTCCTGATATGACTATAGAGCATTCAGCTCTACACCCTTCTCATTTATCTGATCCCTCTTTACTTAGGAGTGGTACTCACAGTACAGTTTGCACCTGCCAGGAAAAGGTATTAGGGCAAAAAGGGACTTCCTATATTCTGCAGCATCAGTGCAGCCAACTTCCTTTCTCACTGAGATCAGTGCACTAAAAGCAGATGGATAGTGACCTCCAGCATTTGAGCCAAGGAGAAGGAGGAACACGTGCTCTGCCCTTGGGAAGAACACTCTGTAAAGGATAGTGGGATGGCAAGCAGTTTCAGCAATCTTGCCCCTTGTGAAGAGGCAAGGCTACTAAAGGAGAGTAACTTAAAGAAGAGGGAGTTTTCTTCTTTAAATAATCTTGCAACAGCAAAGAAAAGTTTTGCGCTTTTCCTCCCCTCAGTTACTGCTTGGCTGCAAAGGAGTTCTTCAATACAGTGAGCTGATGAAAGGACCTGTAACACGGTTCTGTGCATGTCAGGGGAAAGTTTGTGGCAGTATCTTCTGCTACCTGGCCGGGGGCAGGATACAAAATATGAACACGGTAAGCACCTCCCAGAAAAGCTTCACACATCTGAAGAAGCTTTGAAGGGCAACTGGACAAAGATGTTTTTCTCTTTTGCACAATTCATATATTTTCTTTCCTAAACAACAAGACATCTGACTCCTCTGAACAGTAGAAATTTTGTTTGTTTGCTACACACTGAAATATTTCCAGCCAAAACTCAAAGCTTTTCTCCACACTTCTCCCAGCAGAAAGATTGCATTCCTTTACTCTGGCTGCTACCTCTTGTTCTTACAGACCTTTCACAGGTCTGTTCTCCAGTCACCTTTTATCTCTCAGACTATTTAACAAGTGTCCCTATTAAAAGCTTTATTATGCCAAAGTAAACTGTAGAGAATCTTTCTCTACTGATTATGCACAGCACAATTTAAAAGCATTATACAAATCATACAAACTGGGAAAACAAAGGCCATAGATGCTTCTCAAATGATGTTTTCTGTGTTGAGAATGTTGAAAATATTATCCCAAAGATATAAAATCCCATGTGTTCATTCCTATGTAAACTAGCATATTTGTGAACCTTTCCTCAACTTCCATTTTTATATCTGAAGAATATCCTATAAAAATGGGGGATGCAGCAGTATGTTTCTCAGAGCCTTCACAGCTTTATTCTGTCACAGCACTGGATCTCTGCCTTCACAACACTTCTGCTTTGTCTGCAGAGTCGAACAGATTCATACTCGGGACATTACCCAGCTGGAACATCGGTACAGAACGTTATTCACTGGCAGCAGGTATAACTGTGCTGACACAAACACTCTTAGGATGGCTTTCTATGCAACTGGGAGCCAACAGGGGAATCCAGAGGTGACAGATCTGGAAATCTGCCCATCACATCTTCTCACCTGTCACAGAGTGAGCCCTGTTCCCCATGGCTCACCAGATCATTCCCCAAATTTCCCCTTGGGCAACAGGCTCTAAGATTTCCCCAGGGCACATCACACCTCTCTCGGCTCTAATGGCTTTGTCCTTATTTATGGAGATGTATGCAGAAAGCTGCAGAAGTGAAGCACAGTCTAGGCACTTGGCAGGTGGGATAAGTGAGAACTTTACAGTCAGGGATGAACCAGACAAAGAAGGGATTTAGGTTAAAGCTCGTCTCCCAGAGGGTTAATTGCAGCCTTGACTACCTCCAAAAGCCAGTTTACTGCACAAATGCTTCTGCTGGCACAATGGCAAAATGGGGAACTGCCTCTTCTGCTGGTACCCCTTTCAGACCCAAGCTTGTTCTGCCTAGGCTCCAAATCAGACCAGGGCAAGATGGCATTGGCTCAGAAACACATCACTCTATGAGCTGTGAACTTAAGTGAATCCTAAGTGCACTGTGCCACTTAAAGCAGCCCTTAAATACATGTGTGCTGCTGTACATCCCCTGCCTAAAATTCCTGGTATCCAGAACAGAAACCCAGCACTCAGAGCCAGAAATCAGAGATGAGCTAGCAGATTTTTATCATATCCTCAGTTATTATTAGAGGTTTAGATTAAAAAAAAATGCACACACATTATTAGTAAGACAGGTTAACCCTTTATTGTTTTGATATTCCTTTTAGACAAATCACAGAAGACAAGAATTTAGTGCTAAGGTGATCACACTCTGCTCCCAATATACTTGTATGCAGTTCACAACCTCTGATATCACTGCCACTACTGTGAGCAGACCAGAGCAGACCAAGCAGGCACACAAAAGCTGAGGATTTTGAGGAGGTATCCCAGGCTAGTGAGAGCCCTGACATGCTCCTGCATCACCGAGAGCTACATTACCTAAATAAAGAGCCAATTAAGATAGGGCAGCAAGGCTTTAATATTTAAACATAACAAGAGTGGTGGTTGAAGATCAGGAGAAAATGTTAGCAAGGGGAAAGGTGGTGAAACCACTTATCCCACAATCCCTCCTCAGTATCCCTGGGATCCTGTCTACTGCCTCAGACTTGAGTTCAATCATATGCTAGAAAACAACTCCTGCACTCTGTCTCTTAACATTTTCATTTTATCTGTCCTTGTTGCAATATTAACAGATAAAACATGCAGACCAATTTCAAGCTTATGACTACGGCTGTAAGGAAAACATGAAGAAATACAACCAGGTAAGGCAATTCATTTTTCTGAGAACTCATCCTTGGGTCCTGGAAAAACTAAAAACAGAAAAATTCTTATACTAGCACCTTGAATGATACAATAAGAAGGAAAGGGTGGTCTTAGGCAAAGCTTCACCTGAATCTAATAGTCATAATTATCAGAGTCGATTCACAAACATGGCATATACAGATTTTTGCAGCCTCCCCTACTGATGCAGGGATGTGTCCAACAACATGTCAGCATACCTGCCATTCCCAAAAGGCCAAGAATCACATCCAGGTCCTAGACTGGATGAGTACAGAGCTCCTCCCCAGAAATCCTCAAAGTCTACATTTCAGTTAAACACTAAAATGGGGATGAAAAAAAATAAGTGGAAACACATACCTTGGTTTTCAGAGGCTACTTGCTGTAAAAATTAAACTTAAGGGATGGTTCAGTATGGCACAACGTAGACTTTTGGGGAGAACTAAAGTATCCTGTATGGAAAAATGGAAACAGGCAAAATTTGGTCACTAGGAGCTTTATTTACTGTGTAGTCAACACCTGAAAATGCTCTGCTCCTCTTGCAACACTTACAACTCATCTGATTATTTTTTGAGGTTTGATCAGATCAGTTGACTTGTATAGTGCTTTGTGAGTCAGGGCAGGTTATTTCATGGGTGGCACATTATTTTGCAAGTGGATAAAGATTCCAAGGACACCTTCCTTCTCAGACACCTTGCATACACACGTAAGGCCTTTAAATACCTGAAGTTTAAACTTTGAAATGGGCAATGTTTTATTCCCAATACTGTGGAAGGTTGGGAAATGGCCCAAAAAAGCAGTCAAGAAGAAAGATAACTGAACTGTCCTTTCATAAGGGTAAGTTTCAAAACATCTTGTGCACGATCCCTTACCACACTGACAAATAACCATCCTGCACTAAGGCTTTTGGTTCAGATCTCAAAGGATCTCCATTTTGATCTTCTGTGTTCCTTTAACTTCTTCTGTGATGACAAGCAAGGCAGGGAATGGGGTTAGGGCAATGAGCAGTAAGACCTTCATCCCTATGGTTTTACTGTAGGCACTGCAGAAGCAAACGACAAAGAGAGGTGCTTGCATGGAAACCTTTCTCTAAACACAACTTTGATACCCAGCACTCACTCAGGTCTCCTCCCTCTCTTACAGACTGCTCCTCCTGTGTACAAGATAGAGGAGATAAAGGTGCCAACTGCTGTTTGGAGTGGTGGACAGGACAAATTTGCAGACCCAACCGACATAGCAAGGCTTCTTCCTCGGATCACTAATCTCATTTACCATGAGCATTTTCCTATATGGGGACATCTTGATTTCCTCTGGGGCCTTGATGCAACTGAGAAAATGTATCTGAAAATCATTGAACTACTGAAGAAATATGCTTAGAGTGCCACAGAAGGCAGCAGAAACCCCAGATATTTCTATTTAGCAGTTGATTAGTGGTATAGGTATAGAGGTTTACAAACTACTGACAATTGGTTTGCAATATTTTTACACTACTTCCTTTGGTGTTACACTATTTTGGTGATTGCAGAAGAAGCTGGGGTACATGTGAATGACCACTGAAATTGCAAATACATTACATACAAAACTTCAGGGATCCCTTACTTTGGAAGATTTCTGTTTTTATATAACTGATTTTGCAAAAATGACATTTTCTGTTTCCTTGTTGATCTGCACTACATATTTCACTTGAGACAAAGGTGATTTCCCCTGAAAACCCAAAATGGGAGATAATCTCTCTGTTTACTGAACTTTCCTGAAGTTGAGTCATCTGTCATCCTGATAGTGTTTCACCTGTTTTCCTCTCTTCACAATACCAACAGCAGCAAGGAAGACCAAAAAGGTTTTCACTTGAAAAACTACCTTGGCATTTAAGCAGACAGGAATTGGCTATACTGGCCCAAATGCAAGAAATCCAACACCACAACATATATGTCAGAGAAAAAGCACCTGACTGTTGGACAGATGCAGATATTTTCTTATCCTTACACTAACTAATGGTTTGTTACCCCTCTTACTACAAAGAGCACAACTGTCTTCATGCTCATAACCTGGCAACAGCAGCAAATTGTACATAAAAGACAACCGCATCCATCTCAATAAATATTCCTGCCACCAACAGTAAACAAGTTTAAGTTCTTCTAGGTCCTCATCTCACCATGTCAGCGCTTGCCTATGGGACTATCCCAGGGGGTACAAATCACACCAAAGGGCTCATCATTGTAGGGCAAGCCAGCAGAGCTCAGGCTCTGTGGGTGTTTCTGGGTGGGGGCATAAGCCCAGATTCCTCAGTCAAGACTTGTGGAAGGTGAAACCCATTTGATAATAATCTGGGAGATAGAGAGCAATATAAACAAAACATGTTTGTCTCTCGTAATACAGAAAACACATGCAAAGGCCACCTTCATGCAAACATATGCAAACAACACACCTCCTCTAGCAACCTGTGGTACCACTGGGAACTGAGTTCTCAACTTCTGGGGATGTTTGCAGTCCAAGACACAGAGTGGCTTCTCTTGCCCACACCCCATCATTTATACATCCCAGTGTCCTGGCTGCCCAGGGAACTCACAGCAGACCTGCCCACTGCCATGAAGCAGCAGGGCAGAGCCAGCACTGGCACAGCAAACACTGCACCCCACATAGACACGGGCTCAGCTCGGCAGGGAGGGGGAGTTGGAGCCACAATCCCAGCTCAGGCAAAGAGGAGGAGAGGGCCTCTGTGGAGGATCTGGCAGCCAAGCCCTCCAGCTCTGCTCTCATTCACACTTCTGCAGCACCACCCAGCATTCAGACAAGGTGCACTGGATGAACCTGGCAGTGTGACTCTGCACGAAATGTACAATGGAAGGGAGAGAAAAACCATAATGACAGCACTGAACTCCTTCCACCCTCACCAGCGGTGCCTTTTCCCTGCTGCAGAGTCAGGGCTAACCATGAACTAGAACTGATTCTCCATGAGCCAGAGCACATGGCTCTGCCCAGCTGAAGAAAGCAGTGGGGACACACTGCCATTTCAGGGAGGTGCAGGAAGGTGGATCTAGCAGTTCCTCAAAATCTGGTTGTGTGGACACTGGTCTGAAATTAAGTTTACTCATCCTGGAAGCAGCCACCAAAGGCTGCCTCAGGACATCAAGTTCAATCTTTTCTAGAGCATCTTCCCTGGCTGTAGAAGAACTAGCCACAGACACACCCTGCAAGAGGTTACAGGGAAACATTCAGGTCAGTGACCAACAGTTCTTGGGAAAGAGGACCATGTGGAGTGTCTTCAATACTGAACACCTAAATCAGGCTAATGTTCAGCCCAATTTCACCTCTGCCATAACTGAGTTTTACAAAGGATTGCCAGTTTTTCTAACAGAAGAGAATTTTCTAATACCCATCTGATAGGCTCTCCATTTACCAAAGTTTCCTGCAAGCAAACTTTATCTTCTTATTGCCATCCATCAGAAATGCAGTCCTGGAATGCACAGTGTCTGGACAACAGCAATAGCCATTCTTTACATCTCCCCTTGGAAAACTTTTAGCTATCCAGACAAAATCCTTGCAGCACTGAAAGTGTCCTTCCCATGACTGCTTCAGGACAGGATTAACTCAACAGTGCACTGAAAACCCTCCATGGCATAGACTGGAGCCTCTATTTCATAACTCTCTCAGCCAAATCCAAGATAACAAGGTAGATGCTTGAACATACTGGATTTTTGTTGCTTGCCCAAATCAGTCTCTCCTGTTCTTAAAGCCAGGATCAAGACCTGTGGTGCCACTCCACAGCCACCAGCACCAAGAGAGGTACCTCAAGGCTGGGAAGCCAAGCAGCCAGAACAGCCTCACACACAATGAAAGGAGGGGAGGAAAAATACATTACTGTGTTTGGGGGTGCAGGATGAACTAAATACAAGCATCTTAGACCATGTCTAGACTTCCATGTTCAGGTTTGGGGTTCAGTAAAGGCATGAATATGATCAATACCTGCCGAGCAAGTTCAGCAAAAAGACAATATAAAGGTCATCCAAACTGATCACAGAGTGACTATCTGCTGCATTGGCTGAACATTCAGAGAACAGCAGAGATCTAGGCCAGCCCACAGCAGTGCCCTGCCTCCTCAGAAACCCAGCCTACATCTTCTGCTTCAGAGGAAGGCCCTCCTGTCCAGCATGCTGCTTCCCAGGTACAGCAGCCTCACACTGCCAACCACACCTTCAGTTATCTTTCGTCCTTTTCCTCCTTACCCACAGCTTCCTCCAAAACATTGTTTCCCCTGAGTTAGCCCTTCCCAAAGTTCAGGAGAGCCCAGGTGAGGTGTGCACACCCTCCAGTATCCAAGCACATAAAGACTGACTCAGTGATGTCCGGGCTGGCTCCGGTACCGAGGGGGATGCGGAGGGGGCACATCCCAGGTGCGTACGGACCGTGCTGCCCCCAGCACCCTCCGCCCCCGCAGGGCGCTCCCGCTGCCCTCAGCCCCGGCAGCAGCGGCGGGGCTGTGCTGGCCGGAGCCCGCAGCGCGGAGCGGCACGGCTCGCTCGCTCTCCCCGCGCGGCGCAGGCTCCTCCCTTCGCCCCGCACGGTGACGGGCCCGGCTGCGGCGGCGCAGGGCGCTCGGTGCCCGCCGCCACCTGCCCGCCCGCCCGGGGCCGCTCCCGCGCAGGGCGCCCGCGGCTCCGCGGCCCGCCGGGGCGAGGCGAGGCGGGAGGAGCAAGAAGAGAGAGAGAAGCAGAGGAGGCCCAGGCCGCCTGGCGCTCCTGCTTCCCCCCGGCCCGCGCTTTGTCCGCGGCAGCCGCCGCCAGCGCGGATGCGAGAGCCGGTAAGCAGCACCGCCCTGCCCCTGCGGGAGCGGCCAGGCGCTGCCTCCGCCTCTATCCATCCATCCCGCCGCCTGCGCCAGCGGCCCCTGCGGGCACAGCCACAAGGGCCGGGACCCCTTCCGGGGCCGCGGCAGCGGCAAGGGCCGGTACTCGCTCCATCCGCTCCTCGGCCCGGGCAGCGCCCGTCCCCGCCCCGGTGTCAGGTGCGGAGCCGCGGAGGCCTCTCGGGACAGCCCTCCTCCCTCCGGGCAGGGCGGCACCCGGCGGGAGCGGGGAGCGGGGAGCGGGGAGCGGGAGCGGCGGGGGCAGCGCGGGCTGTGAGGGGCTGTGCCCGTGCCGGGGGCGGCGGGCAGCGAGCCCGGCCGGCCGGTCCTGCTGACTCCGCTGCGGCTCGCAAAGGGCTGGGGCGGTGTGGTGGGAGTCCGGAATGGTGCCGTGTGCCTGGGGCAAAACAAACCGATAACAGTGTTCTGGCTTTAAATTATTTCCGTATATATGTGGAAGGTGGTCATCGGAATAGAAAGTGAAAGAATCTAAAGCAGTAGAAATTGTGGTTGCTGAGCATCTGTAACTCTGTGATGAGCTTTTTCTGTTCATGTACTTGGTTCTGTACCTGCCTCCTTTTGACCTCTGTAGGATCTCAGGTGTCCTTCTGAAATGCACTGAGGAATGTGTCTCGCTCTTACACATGCTGCCCGGTTTCAGGAAGGTGCCAAAAAGTCTCTTCTGGGGGAATTCCTCTTGATCTGGAATGATTTGTGTTTAATATGCACGTGGTTCTGAATGCTCTGAGAAGTCATGGGCAGGAAATCCCCCACCTTCTACTGACAATGGGAAGCAGTGAGATTATGAGATCTTGGAGACACTGTGCTTCTCAGAACATTCATTCCCCAGGTGAAGACCAGCTTTGAGAAAGTTCTGTCTGCACAGAAGTGAGGTTTCTCCTCATTGCAGGCTTAAATGGATTATTATCCAAAACTAGGTAGCATATATTGATGACTTGCCTTAGACAACCAAGTTGTAGAAAATAGGATATAGACCCAGAACTTCATTGAATATTCCCAGGAGAATGGAGCCCAGGTTTGTTGTTGTGGGTGCTGATCGGGCAATTTACTCTGAAACAGATGAGTTTTCTCATGTACTAAATGCATTGCAGCTGGTATATTGCATGTCAAAGTGCTAAATGTTTGGATAACTAAACTAAAGGCCAGTGTTTGCAAGTCTGGAGTTTCATAGATCACAGGATATGGTAGGAATGCAGGAAGCATTCATCCCAAATTCTGTATAATTCTGTAGGTACCAGTTTCATAGTTGGGGGTCCTTGTGTGGGTGTGTGTGTACAGTATTTTAAATGGCTGTAAGTACAAGGAGGTATTTTGTAGCATTATGTTTAAAAATTGTTTTGATCAATCCTGCAGTCATTTGTATTACTTGATATTGCTCTGCAGACGCTGTGAAGGCATTTATTGTGTGGTTTTCTTTATGTGCATTAAACCTGCTGAAGGTTAGGCCTTAAGGCTTTTCCTGGAAGTTAATCACCAGGATCAGGAACAGTATAGCTCAAGGTGAGGGATGTTGTAAATTCTTCAGCTGCTGAGGGAATAGCAAGGTGACTTGTGCATGAAGGCACTGAACAAATACCGTATAAAGCTAAGTTTTCGGTCTCTGTTTGCTGGACATGTATGAATAATGCTTTTTTCTGGTTTTATCAGACTCCTGAAATTTTATTTCTGCACCAAATGTTACACTTCCAATTTTTGTTCTGAAAATTAGTCTGCTGCCATGTAAAGGAAGTCTTTGTCTATACAATTTTGATAAAATTAGAACATTTAGATTGTTGTGCCAGGAAACACATTTTCTGGTCATGCTTTCCATTATAAATAGAAGTATCAATCCATGAAAGAAAATTATCTTGTTTGTGCAGTTCCTGAACAATCCTTGTGCAGTGGCTTAGTGCTGTTGTTGCAAAGAAATTCCTATGATAAAAACCCAGGCTTGTCAATCTTGCCCAGGTGCTGGTGCCTCTCAGAAGCTCTGTGAGTCAGGCAGCTCCTCAGACACAACCCTCTGCCTACCACTTCCTACTGGCAGCTCTGGATGAGTCACATTCAGCTCACAACACAGGGAATTGCGTTATGGAAGCTGTGGGCCCTGCACACAATCAGCGTAGGAGCAGCTTTTAGCATCTCTGACCCGTCAGCATCTCTGCACTGCTGTCAAAAAGCCTTCAGAGACATCTAATGCTCGATGTTGGTATAAAAAGGAGCTTGTGTGTGCTGCAAAGATCAATGGGCTGATCCTGAGGGGGCAAGCAGATAATTTGAAAGGCTCAAAGGCAGACTGTGGGTAGCTGCACTGGGATGAAGCTGTTGGCCTGCAGGGCTACAAAACGTCAACCAAAAGTCATCATACTCAGCTTTGGTATTCTGGATCATTCAGCTGACTGTCAAGCAGCCCTGTGAGCTGAGTGTGTTACAGCCAGTGCTGCTTAAAACATGTGCTTAACGCTGTCAATCTTAGAAACCTAAGTAAGAGAAATGAAATATTGTAACTGTCCAAGTAGAACAAGCAGTCTAAAGCTCACAGAAATCTTTTCATAGAACCAGGCATTCTTCTTGTTTTTCCTGGGTTGTTTTTTGCTCATAGCATGTTACATCCTGAATCATCTGGAATAGGGGAGAAGGTCACAGATTCCCTTATGAAATCAACTAACTGTGTTATTTTCATATAAACATTGTACAGCAGAATCATGCTAGATAAAATGGTAGTTGTTCCTACTGATTGATCACACTTCATCCTGTAGGTAATCTCACTATCCATTTCTTACCTTTCCTTACTTAACCATTTGTGTACAAAACAGTCAGAAGCCTTTGAACTAATGCCTCAAATTATTTTTTTCTAGATGTGAGGCCAAAAAAACAAGTTTCATTCTTTATAGGCACTTTAATAGGCTTCAAATAGACTGTGAATTTGTATGTCAGAAATGTCAAATAAATTTGGCTCACTTTTATTTTGTCCCCTCTATTTTGAACTGTAGAAAGTAAGACAGCATAAAAATTTGTCATCTGATAGAAACAGAAATTGATTGCTGCAACCAGTTACTCACTCAATCAACAAGTGTCCTTGTTAGATGCTATGGAGTCTCAAGTGCTCTAGATTTAGGTGGGATATATTTTGCCAAAAAAAGTCATTGCATTTCATAGGAAGAATAAGAGGATTCTTAACCCCTCTAGCCTAGTGGGACCTTGCCCCTGAGAGAAATAGGGATACAGATAAAAAAAAATCTGTGACACCTAAGACTTTACAAGGAATCCTGCTTTCTTTGTTTCTCAGAAGTGTATGGAGTTGCAGGCCTCTGTGCTGATTTTAACCTCTCATTTGTTTCCCTTAGCAACACAGCTTCTTGTCTTCATGGTGGAAGTTAGTTTTATTACTGATGTAATGGATTGCAAGTATCTCCTTTTTTCAGTATTTCAGTTGAATCATCAAAGAACAAATTGTATAAAACCAGCTCTTTCTTATACTTCTGTCCTCTTCTGGGTCACTGTCCCTGGTGCAATTTTCTTGGGAGATTGTTGTGGATTTCCCAAAGGAAGAAATGGCACTGTTTTTCTACATCATGTCTAGAACATCCTTTTAGTGGGTCACTGGAAAGATGCTGTTCTCTGTTGCATAAGTAATATTTCACTGACTGCCTAAGAAAGATTTTGCTTGTAATGCAAGACATTCTACCATGGTTGATATTTATCCATTATGTTAAAAATGCTTTTTTTGCTAAAACTGAATGGTGTCACTAAAGAAAGGAGGGGGGAGGAGGGATTGTGTTTTCTTTTAACACAAGAATCCATTAGAGCATGAACTGTCAGTTCACAAGTGCATGTTTGAATGTTTAATATTTCCAGTCCTTTTTTGAGGACATTCTCCTAGAAGTCACTAATATCATGTTAATAAATCTGGAAGCAAGCTGCCATCTGTCTTTACAGCTCAAATGCATTGGGTTATGTTGTAGTAGCACAACCATACTAGATGTTGATTTCAAAACAGCCTGAATAAAAATGAATGAGAAAATAGTTGCCAGTCAGAGGTCTCCTCTGTGCTGTGAAGCAGTAGGAGAGAGAAGCCTGTAGGCTCTGCATTCACATACTCTGTAGGGAGCAGATGTCAGGTTCTTGCACGTGCCATGTTGGACATTATCTGAATATTGTAGTGGTTTATCAGTCTTAGAACCAGTAGCAATCTAATTTTATTAACACAGCTTCTTGATGCAGTGATGTTTGTGTCTGTGCCAAGAGGAATGCAGTCCTTAGAAAACAGGTAGTCAATGATATTCAAGAAACTACAATGGCTAATTGCAGTAGTCCAAATATTTGCAGAACTATAACAGTCTTCAGACAATTAATTCAAACTTCATTTTGAAATGGGAATACAGACCCTTGTGTCACCCACTCTTTTTTTAGATGAAAATAAAGCCTAGTTTTGTGATGCAAGGTGCAGCACTAAGTGCCTAAGCATATAAGCAAGTCTTGAGTTTGGCAGACCTGTGCATGGAGGATCTTCCCTGCTTGTGATTTCTCTCACTCAGTGCCAAGGCAGATGAAGGTGCTGCTGTCAATCCTCCACTGACACGGAGGGGCTCTGGGCAGTGTGCTGGGACATGGGAGGCACTGCTCCTTCACCAGTGAGAAAGAGGAAATGTTCTTGACCCATTTCTAGGAGAGATGGTTGTATAGCTCAGCAGCTGCTCCTGGCAGTTAGTGGAGCTTGGGAGGTGGTCTTGGAGCTGCTGTTTAAATGGAGCACTGTCAGACTATGAGCTGTTACTGAGATGGGCTTTTCTAGAGCTGAGCTTAGTAGTTGCTGTAAAGAGCAACTTCTCCGTTGAAAGGCACAGGGTTTTCAGGAACTGGCTCCTCGCAGTGATTCCTTTCATTGAAAGGCCATTCTGTTGAGTTTTGTGGATTGGGTATTTCCTCTGCACAAGAGAATCTTCTTGCCATGA